TGTTTCTAAAATGACAAAAATATGACCTTATTTCAAAATTATGCCAAAATATGCTGTAAAACCAATAAAACTCTAAAATATGCATTTATATGCACAATAAAAATGACATAATTTCAATAAGAATGACTGGAAACATGCATAATTACATTTAAAAATAGGAATAAACCCTAGGAAAAAAATATGACATGTCATAGAAATCCGGGCCCTAGTGATTACTTTCCAACTGCTCCCTCCTTAAGGCTGCTTGTCCTGAACAGTTCCTTGATAAGGTGTGAGCCAGTCCAGGTGTACCACCGTCATCCTTGTTCTTTTCTGAAGGCTGTGCTTTGGATGTCTCTTCTTTCATTTCAGAGGGGGCAGAAACTTCCATGGTGTCTGGTCACTTTCCGAAACCTGGTGGAAATCTGACTGCTCACTTCATGACCTCCAACTGGAGAGTTTGCCTGACAGTCTTGTTGAATGTCCTCTAGGTTGCTTACTAGTCTTAGCTGCCATCTTGCACTTCAGTTCTTTGTTGCATTGCTGCATTCTGGGTTTTTCTTGGTTCTTTATGTTTGCATCCCTTAACGCCATGCAGGAAAAGCATGGCGGGTCATACTTCTGCCAGTGACAGCTTACTTCTTCCAGAATCCACCATCACCCTAGGTCAGTTTCCTCTACTGGCACCATGTGGCTAGATGGCCACTGCCATACCGGTCCTCCAGTGCTCCAATACTTTCCACCATGCCCTCTTCTTTAAGGACTTCCTGATGCTCCACTATGGCCTCTGTTTTTTCTGGATTCACCTCCAATTCCGTGGCCTTCACTGTCTTTTGGCCAGTCTTATTTCAGGTGTCTCGTGGTTCCTGGCCGACCTCTATCCTGGCCTCCATCTTTACTTGATAGGTTTTCAATATCGCCATCAACTACTCATGACAAGAGTTCATCTTGGCTTCAATCTTTTCTTGACTGGCATGTGTCTTGGCATCCATCTTTTCTATGACAACTGTCAGACGTTCCATCATTTATTCCAGTTTTGTAGGATGACAGTATGACCAACAGCTGCAGTCTTCAATGCAATAACTCAGTGAATCCAATCCCACTTCTGACATCAGTTGTCACATATATGAATGATTGGATTGGTAATTGGATTTATTGAACACTTACAAATTGTAACTGTAATTAAGCAAAGCAGTTTCACTGATTTACACATGGTACAATTTACTACAGCATGCACTAAGTCTTCACAGTCTGCTGTATCTTCACTGATTGTTGCCTGGTAATGGCTTCCAACATTGTAACTTCCTCAGCTTCTGTGTTCACGTCCTTGCTGGCCAGCAACACTCTCACAACTAACTAAACTCTAGACTTCTCCTGCTTATAACAGCTAGACATGGACTGCATAGAAAACATCTCCTTATTGTTGTAGTTCAGTTGTTGCTGTGGGAACGTGTTTGTCTGCTATCGTGTATTTGCTTATTCTGCAGTCATTGCCTACTAATGGATTTATATGCCACAGTATTATATAGTCTGTATAGTCTTATGCGACATGTAATAAGTAAAATAATTTAAGGTAAAAAGTTGTGTTGAATAATGAATTGTGTTTTAAAAAGATGGCTTAAAATTTAAGGATTATGGCTATGGGGAATCTTAATATAGCTGAGTGACCCATGTATGCACCAACCACCTGTGTAGTGGTCCATGTTTACTGAAAGTCTGAGAACACTGGTTGAAGTTATGTGACATGTACAAGTTAAATATTTGTTTTCAGGAATATCTTGAGCATTCGTTGACCTCAGGTTCTGGATCAGGTTTGCCACTACTTATTCAACGCACACTTGCAAAGCAGATTTCACTATCAGAGTGCATTGGCAAGGGACGATATGGAGAAGTTTGGCGAGGAGTATGGCATGGCGAAAATGTTGCTGTAAAAATATTTTTTTCACGAGATGAAGCTTCATGGAGGAGAGAAACAGAGATATACAGGTTATTGGCCTTTTATTAAATATGATTCTTGTTCAGATGACATTAAAGGTGGCAGTTGAATAGGTTTTGAAATGCTTTGAATTGAATTACTGTTGTTAGTAATGTGTAATAATGAAAATATTGATTGATTTATTGTTTTTCTCATCATAAATTGTCCTGTGTATTAGAGATTGCAAGGGACTGGTATGAAATCATATCTCTTTCTCGTGCAGTTAGAAGCCAAAAATCATGAGTTAATTACAAGTATAGTCAATTTAAAAATTGTAGTACATTGGCCTGGGTCCAGAGAGTTTGAAGAAATTTGTAAACCATCAAGATCTCTGTTACCATCGAAGCTATGGTCATTAAGTTTTGAATCTTTTAAGGGCCACTAGTAATGACAAGAAGTAAGAGTTACAAGTCAGATATCAGCATATATTTATATTGAATATGAGGTCCTCACAGCGGCGATTATGAAGAGCTGTCTTTGGCGCTGTACCTTTGTGCAGTTTGGGGAAGGCCTGACATTTTAGGGAACACATCGCCTGCAATTCAGGGACATAGATTAAGAAACAGCAGAAGCATTTGACAAGCTGCTTTAATAAATTGTATCATCTCATTTCACTGTTATCAGTACTCTATGGTTGAAACTAATGTGAGCCATATGCAAGTGCAGTGTGAGTTTTTCTAGTGATGTTATGAAGGTTCAGACAAACCATATAGAAAGTTCAATTCCAGAAGCATGAAATTCAGTAACTTTGGAACAGTGGTGAATTGGACTACTTTCAATTTTCATTCCCACTCTACAGTTTCTTGAAATTTGTCCTTAGGACTTGCATTCATTCTATGTATTGGTAATGGTCTGGTTCAAAATATTACAAGGGAATCAGATTTGTACTGCAAACATGATTGCCAAAAAATTGAAATTTTCTGAAATAAACACTGAAGTGGTGAAGTGTAGTGGATGCTGAAATGAAACTTTTCTAGGGTTCTTGATCCTGATGTGTCAAGTGCAAAAATACAGCTAATCCAACCTAGTGACTCTTATATTTCCACATACTGTGAGCAGAGAATGTTTTGAAGCATGAAACTTCAGTGACAATTTTTAACAAGACTGCTCTGGTGGACTGTTCAGATTTGAACTCCTCTCAAAATGCTTAGTATAAATGTTCAGAAATATTTCCTGTCCAGTAAATGATTTATGTTTGGATGAAGGAATGATTCCCTGGAGAGGCTTGTTGAAATTTAGGACACATGATCCTAGAAAAGTTGTCACCTATGTGAGATTTGAGTTTCTAACGGCAGTGACTATGACGAATTCTGTATTCTGGGATGTGATAGAAGATTACTTGTGTTTTAGAGAAATGTACTGTCCTAATCTCCAGGGTTGAGGGGTAAGAGAAACAGGAAGCAAGTAAATGCATGGAAGCAATGCATTTCTTTGAAGTGTTGACAAGTTTTGCCTCACTACATGGCGTTGCATCCCAGAAGGTTGCACTTTTCATAATCACTGCTGTGAGAACCTCAAACCTAGCATTAGTAAACTTCTGCCAGACCACTTTTGGTCACATCCACAGGACATCCCCATCTGTCAGGACATGTGCTGTTGTAATGTAAAAGTAGCCAGTGCACCCTAGAAATGGAATGAATATGTGGGGGAGCTGGAGCCAACCCAGGGTTTCTGTATGGTGTAATGAGAGAACCAAGGCAGCTCAGGTATAAGGTGGCATTGGAAATTTTCCAGACTGTTGGTGTTGTAACTGCCATGGTGAAAGAAGATTAGAGGGGAGGCTAAGAACACACTTGGCCACACCAAAGTGGACAAAGTGGCGCTGGGGCAGGTTTTCTCCGAGTACTTCGGTTTCCCCTACCAATTTTCATTCCACCAATTGCTCCACAATCACCCTCACCTATCATCTGGGGCTGGTACAACAGGCCACAGTACAAGGGACTTAGTCCCACCCCACTAGCAATAAAAAAAAAAGATCACACTTCCAAAAGCCTATTGCATCAGTCTGCCACATGACTCCATGCTGTGAACATGCATTGTTTTTGCATGAGTACTTTTTTGACTTCATGTTTCATTTTGTCTGCGATGGATGGCAAAATTGAGCAACATGTCTGCTTCAAGTTTTGCATGAAGCTCTGTAAATCTGCTACTGAAACCCTTGAAATGCTTTGTGAGGCTTTAGGAGAACATTTTTTAAGCTGGACAGTGGTTTCTGTATGGCATTCAGATTTCAAGGCTGGTTGAGTGTCAGTTGAAGGTGATCAACGTTCAGGGCATCCAAGCACCAGCAAAATGACAGAAAATGTTGAAAAAATTCAAAAACTCATACATGAGGATGGTCACGGAATGGTCCATGAGCTCACAGATACCGTTAGGATCAGTTATGGAGTCTGCCAGGAGATCTTAACAAAAAATTTGTACATGCACCGCACTGCTCCTTCATTGTGACAACGCAACCACCCACACATCCCTGAAAACCACAGAGTTTGTGACTAACAGCAACATGGTTATTGTTCCCCATCATGCCTACTTGCCAGGCTTAGACCCCTGTGATTTTGCTTTGTTTCCCAAATTGAAAATTAAACTGAAAGGATGACATTTTGAAACAGTGTCTGACATCCAAAGGGAAATGCAAGCAATAATCGATGGCATTAAGGAAAATTACTTTTATGGTGTTTTGAAACATGGAAAATATGATGGGATTGCTGTATATGTTCCCAAGAAGACTATTTTGAAGGAGATGGCAGCCAAAATTGAGTAAGTTAAGCCAGCATTTCTTTTTTGACCTAGTCCAGGAAGTTTCTCATAGCTCATTGTATTATGAAGAAAAATGTTTGGAGACGTAAAAGAGAGGATGGAATCCACATTGCAGGAATTGTAAATCCCCCTCTCTCCAAGAAGGAAAATTGGTGAAGATACAAAGAAGCCTCACAGCATTAAGGAGTACCGTAAATCTGTGAACTGTATAGACTAAGCTGACCAGTACCTTAGTTATCACTGCATTTTGTATAAAAACCCTGAAGTGGTCAAAGAAAGTGATACTATATCTGGTGTTTGTAGAAAATTGAACACTGCCACAAAAATTAGACACAAGAAATTTCTACATGCACCCACTAGACACGGGATCACTGAGGAAGAAGATCATAACACTGCCATGAAGGACCCACCAGGTATGTTGTCAGAAGACTTGGCAGATATAAATTGGTAAAGAATTTTCAAACGAGAGAAAATATGAATGAGATGCATTTACAGGTTTTATGTAGTTACACTTCATAAAGGCCCATGTTTTGAAAGATCTCACCCTCAGAAATATTACTGCTTATCACTTGATAGTTATTAGGAACCCAAAACTCATCATATGCAAGAAGAAATATGTGACATGTTGTGAAGGGAAGTTTAAATCTCCAGGAAATGGGTCATTTAAATTGTAGAATTTTCTGGCATATATTATGTAAATGATAACTGCATGTGCTGGGCCAGACTGGAGAGAGATGAAATATATATTGTATAGTATTGTGACATGGCTGGATGCCAGAATAATGGAGCCAGAAGAAATTGTCCATTGCTAGGCAGTATCTAAGTAAATAAACATTGTTTGGCAATGAATAAACACCCACATTCTTATATCAGTCATATAATAATATTTACATTGTTTCAGTAAATAAGGGCTATAAGATAGCAAGCAGGAAACAATACAAAGACCTCCAGCACGTCGACACAAATATGGAGGGTTTTTACCACATCTGAGCAAAACAACTAGCCAGCATTCAAATATATTGTCAAATCTATACTTTTATATTTTTACATTTTTATACTTTTATGTTCTTTAAATTCTTAACTTTTAGTAATGAATTTTAGTAGAATATTAGTGTATAGGTCTCTGCTCACCTTATATATTCGCTTGCAACAACAGACATCTGTTGCATAAATATGGATCCATATCATGACTGTTAATTCTAACCACTTGAGTTATAGGTCATAAAAGAGGTGCCTAGTGATGGCCTGAATTATAGGTCAAAACATGTAGTGCGATTTACGGTTACATTAAGTAATTAAGATATATACCAAGACCTGTTGTTTTCATTGAACATATTCCCATTTTATTTGTTGTGTTGATGGCTATAACATAGGATAAACAGTAGAGGAATTCTTCGAAGCAGTTTCTTCTGTTGCGTCTGCCCTGAGGCTTTATAATGGGGACCAACAGGACAAGCGAGTCAGACTTGAGTTGGCAGTTGGTGAGTGCAGATTGTGAGCTGTAAGTGTGTGGTTAGCAGCCATAACTGAGTTATACACAGTGAAGATGGTAAGCTGGCAATTATTAGTGAAGACTCAAACTGAGAAGACAGCATTTGCTCTGGTGAGAAGTAGAGTGCGTGAATTAGTGAGAGTGCTATAGTTACTAATAACTGCGGTTTGATAAATCCAATTACCAATCCAAACCCTGTATAGTCAATATTGTGTGACAACTGGTGTCAGAAGTGGGATTGGATCGTCGAATTGTGGGTAATGGATCCCGAGACACGAATGCCTTTCTTTCAGAACTAGCAGCCTAGCCTGCTGAAAGGTTGGTAGACATGATACAGGATGCGCAGTCCATTCCAGATCATAATGTGCCCCAGCCCCAAAAGGCTAGAGACCAGCCAGCAGTGGATGGGGGTCAAGATGAAAACCAGTCAAGAAAGGCTGGATGCTGAGATGAAAGCAGACCATGAAGAGGCGACAGCAACAATAGCTGCCCTCTGAGAGAAAACATAGTCTGTCTAAGAAGTGATGGAAGCCAGCTGAGGAGAGAGGAGAGAGGAGAGTCTGCCAGGAAATGCTGCAGGCCATTCAAGAAAGTACAGTCTTGAGAGGAAGGCAGCGATCAGGAGTGGCCAAGAAGAAATGAAGGCTGCAGTAAACTCTGTACTGTTAGAGCTGGAAGAGACTATCAGACATCAGGTGGAAGACATCCTGGTGTCTGTCAACCAACATATATTGGGCCTCCTTGAGGAAATCAGCGAGAAGATTGAGCGAAGTCAGTCAGGCCTACAAGCAGGTACAGCATCGCTCAGCCACAAGATCAGGATTGAAACACAGATAGTGAAGCACAAGGAGCTGACACCAGTAGAGTAGAGACACCAAAATTTGATGGGTTGACATCCTGGGCTGTGATCCACCACCAGTTTAAAGCTGTGGCAGGGCACTGTAAATGAGCATCCTGTGTAAAAGCCATGCAGCTGCTTGCTGTCCTGCAAGGCCAGGCTTCTGATATCCTCCATGTCCCTAAAGTAGTGATGTACAAGATCATTGATGCCCCTGAGGACCACTTTGGGGGCCAGCACCTGGCTGCAGCATATCACAGTCATCTGAAGATGAAAACCCAAATCATTGGCATGTCCCTGCAAGAGTTTGCCACTGCCGTCGAACATATGGTCCACCATTATTATTCTGCACGACCCATGGACTACGTAAGGAGAGGAGCAGCAGGGCAATTAGGATACCAATAAAAATATAGTTGCTCCTGGGAGGCTCCTTGGGGTCGAGACTGTGCTCCTAGCAGCCAGACCCCAGGAAACAAGGACTGTGACATCCTGTTGGGGATGTTCCCCCCATACTGAACGAAGAGAAAACAGGAACATGCATGCTGGCAGTGTGGGAGACCCAGCCACTTTCAAGGAAACTTCCCCTGTGAAATTGAGGAAGGTGACCAATCTTGGAGCAACAAATGGGAGCCCACAAAAGGTTCAAAGTGGCGCCCAAGAAAGCAATGGGAGTTGATGTGAAGGGATGACTGACCCTTGGAAAATGAGCAGCTGCCAGCTGAAAGGGGGAGACCCCAGCATATACATTAAGGCTGCCCCACCCATCGTTAAACCTGATTATCGAGAGTGCTGAAAATAGCCTGATTACCCAAAGCTGGGTTGGTGACAAACCATTCCTCATGACCTTCAATACTGGAATGTGCGTGACTATTGTGAGGCCAGATATTGCTAGAGGATGACGTGAAGGGAAGCTGAAATGATGCTGTGGGCTGGAGAGAGCATCAGGAGAATCTCTTTACTTCCTGAAGGAAGCCTTGGTAAAACTGACCCTTGGGCAGAGCCCCAAGAGTATCTGGGCATTTGTCACATAAATTACTGTTGAGTTCATCCTGGAACTGGATGTTCTGCACACCTGTGTTGCATTCGTGGACCTAGGGCATCAAATGCTGCAAATGGGTCAGGATGAAGTACTGTTATGGAGCCCCTGGGTGGTAATGCAGTTGTCCTGTCTTGTGGTGGCCAGAGGCCAAGTGGTACCAGCATAATGTGAGGGAGTATTGATAGCCTGACTTGAGAGCCTCCTCAGAGCAGAAGATGGCCTAATAGACATGAGTCCAAAGGCCCTTGCTCCCTTGCTTGTGAAGTAATCTTCATAGCTAAAACCCTGGCCTGGTATCAACAGGAAGTGCTGTCTGATTATTGAATACTACTTGCCGAGACCAGATGCTCACAAAAGGATACCCACTGACATGCTCCAAACTGTTCACATTGATAATCCCACATGAGGCTGTGGAACCCCAGACACAACACACCGTTTCACAGTGATTGCATGGTCAGACGAAACTTAAGCAACTGAGAAATTCAAGAGTTGGAAGAACTCATCACCAAGCACAAAGACATTTTTGCAATGAAGAGCAGTGTCTTTGGACAGACCAACAAGGTGTACCACCATATTGATGCTGGAGGAGCCTGTCTTGTTCAGCAGCCCCCAAGGAGACGCCCCCTGGCAAAACAGACTGAAATGGACAAGATGCTACAGGACATGCAATGATGGGGGTTATCAAAGGGTCAGAGAACCCATTGTCATCTCCTGATGCACTGTACACAAAGACTTGAACGTTTCATAGTGTACCTGATCCATGGGAAAGCAACTATGTCTATGCCATCTCTCTGTTTGAAGGTAACTTACATTGAGATAACAGGCTTGCCATCTTAACATTTCATGAAAGCAGCAAGTTGGTTAATGTGGTCTTTTTACTTTATATACTTTTTGTGAAGATTTTTCTTGCAGGAAGTTTAGATTATGCAAATAATATGTTAGAAAATAATACTGAAGTTGTGTTGTCTTCCCTGCAGTACGGTGTTACTCCGCCATGAAAATATTCTGGGATACATTGGATCAGACATGACTTCTCGCAGTTCTTGCACACAGCTATGGCTCATCACACATCATCATCCACTTGGTTCACTGTATGATCACCTTAATAGAACTACTTTGACACACCATCAGTTCATGAAAATTTGCCTCTCTGCTGCTAATGGCCTTGTGCATTTACACACAGAGATTTTTGGAACTCAGGTAAGTTTATAGCTGGTAGTTCCTTTTATGAAGAACATTACCACAGTCGTATGTTTAAGTATGCCACTTCTGAGACGAAATCCAGTAAAAGTCCATTACAGTGAGAATTTGTAGTATCATAGAAGTGTTTCATGTAATGAATGCTCTTTATACTTGACCATAACATTTTTTAAATATTCCAGCTGTCAACAAGCACTTATTTATACATGTTTCAGAGTAAACAATTATTGAATGCACATGACTTTTCAATATTCTGTATTGACTTAGTTTGTAACTCCTTGTTCCATGGATTGAGACACATTTGCAGTATTGGGGGAAAACCATGCATGCTGTATGTTAGACTTCAATTTGAGGATGGCAGGTCACAATGTCCATAAATATGAGAACGTAATATTTCTTTTGTTTTGTCTCTGCAATAAATCCTCCATGACACAAGATGTCACCCAGGCTTTCTTGTTCCGTTTTCAACGATTCAGGAGTTTCTTTATACTGATGTTCTTAGAACATAGCGATTTAGTGGCTTTCCTTATAACAGAAGGTTTTTCCATATCTCCAGTCATAAAACCACAGAAGAGAACTGTTAACTTTTCTTTGCAGAATTTTCCACTAGAACATTTTTCACCTTTCAGACACACAGTTTTTGCTTGGTAATGCATGAAGAAATAGTCCTGTTTCATCACCATTTGTGATATCCTTTGGTTTGTATCCATTCTTAATTGAAAGTGACTTGACAACCCAGTTTGTTCTGTTTCCTAACTAACATCACTAAACTCACCACAGACTTCATTAAACACAATATGATGCCACTTTCTGAAACTTTTAACCATCTGTTACATGCATTGAAGTCACTATTACCCAATTTTGTAGCTTCTTGTTTTCCATATTCCTGTATCATTGGTCCGTGTATTCAAAAGTTTGTAGCTCTTGTCACTTGCACACAATTTCATTGATGTTCCTATTCACAACTTTTTTTTTTAATCTTTGTTTGAATAAGCCATTGCAACAATTCTTCCTTGGATTTCTTATTTCCATCTTTGCGTTTAACATGTCATACATTCGAGTTTTCCCAGAATTAAATTTTGTCACAGTTTCTTTCACTGACAACTTGTCTCTCTCATGTGCTTTGTTCATAGAGACCATGGCCCCAACTAATTGAAAAACTAAAAATCTCAGCGGCATGGTTGACCTTTGCATAATGCTAAGTGTTTCATTAACAAGTGTCATTGTACTCTTAGGAAAGGTACTTGAAAGCATGTTCAGGTGTCACTATGTGGGGTGAGGTGGGTGAGACTTGGATTTCCCAGTGTCATTGTCCGGCTCCCCTGGCGTTCACTTAGTTACTCCCAAAAACAGAGGTACCCGCTAATGAGCAATATAAATGGAAAGGTGCAGTCAGGTGGGAAGTACAGTGTGGAGAGGGGGAATAACTAATTCATCCAGTACTTGGGAAAGAAAATAAAACATTAAGAATCTTTTCTGCTGAAGTTTTCTGTTTCTGCACTAGCCAGTTTCTGTTTATTTTCAATGGGGTTATACTGATATTTGTGCTGAATTCACAGGGCCAAACAAAATTTGGCTATGCACAGCTTTCTGTTTAGTACAGGGTCTGTTGTAGGCAGTTTTTACTGTGTAACTATTGACTTTCTCGAGCGCTGTCTGATGCTGGCCAGCACAAGCTTTATATTGCTGACTAACACTACACACCACAGTACAAAATGGAATGGGGATAGATGCATAGATATTTGGCATTGTATACTGAACCCATCTTTGTTATGATACAGGAAAGCCTATTTCATCAGCACTAATTGTAATTTGGAATTGTTACCATCATGTAATTTTTGGTTCCCTAGGCATTTTTATTTTGTCTGTGTTTTTATGTGCCATAAATAATGTAGAAGATCGTTAGCCACACCACCTTTAGTTTCAATTTTACCAACATTTCTTTTCCCAAACCCATATGTTTTCAGACTTCATAATCAGTTTTGAAGCTGTGGACCGGAAATGTCATATTAACCTTTATCAGACGAACGTCATCATATGATGTTAAAAGTTAGGGCAGCTGGCCAAACGACATCATATGATGTTGCGGATTCCACGCGTGTAAGGTTTTTTTAAAATTAAATTAAAAATATAAATTGTTCTTCTATTTACATGATTTTTGGTCACCACCTTTATAAGGAGACAGCATTCCTTCCTGCATGATCTAATGTANTGTCAGTTTCTGTACTGTTGTCTGCAAAATGTAGAAAACGAAGAATGTGAAGAAAATGGTCGCGTTTCATTGTGTTAGAGTAGAAAGGTGTGGCAAATTGTTCAGCAGTCGACCAGTAGTCCTTTAGTGTGTCTCTAATGTCATGTCCCATTTGAATGATTATTCCTAGAAACAGAAACATCTCGGATTCAGTTACATCAGGCTGCGGAGATGGTCCGTCTTCAAGTCTGTCTAGGTACTGGTGATAGTACCTATTCGTCTCTTCCACCAGCAGATTTATAATCCCCGCAAAGTACAGCATGAAAATGCAGAGAGGGGTAGAATCCTTATTCATGTGTGGAGCTGCAGTGATATTTATCCCCACAGCTACACCGGAATAATTATTCACACCTCTCTAGCCACACTGGTCTGGCGGTCCCCAAGTTGCCGACGAAGGTGATGACCCTTCGTCCGCGGAATCAGAATTCCAACTTGCTTCGCCACTGTCCGAATCGGTTGAATAGCAGTCCGAATCTGTGTCATTGAACAGCTGTTTTTCAATTTCAGTNATGTCGTCGTGTGGCCGTGGTGAACTATACGGCTCTCTAGCAGTGAATGATTTACTGCCAGCACAAAATCTCTCTGTGTTTAACCATGCTCAGAAGCCATAAATCATAACCTCGTGCCCACACATACAAAAATCTCATTCACGTCTTGGCTGAACTCAATATCTGCTTCAAACATGCTAGATGATGTCATGGGTGGCTAACCTTATATTGCGATGTTTCAAAATCTTTACAAACACAATGGTTTGACTGCAATGAATGAATGAATGACCGATCTGGCAACACCATATTCCGAGAATGTACTCCTGTGTCTTACACAGTGAGCGATTTCAGACGCCCACAGTCCTGCATATACCAACGTGTCCCATACGATAAATAAGCTTCAACAAGAGATAGCATTGTATGTGAGTTCGCCACGAAGGACTTAAACTGCTAAAATGCATGGTGCAGAAAATGTATTACACTGCTGGAACGCATGGTGCAGAAAATGTATGAATTTCGGGAAATTTTTTTTTGGAATCAGTGTAAAAAATTTGTACAGATATTAAAATCTGTAAATTAGAATATCTGATTCTATATTCTTTCTACATTAAAGGAGCGTTCATTTCGTTCGTTTATCATAAAAAATGTAGAAATCACACCATTTTTAGAAACATGCTTACAATTTCATCGCTCTAGAAGGGCGGGCATTTAAATAAACTCTGTCCAGCTGCCCCTACCGGAAATTAAATGGCCCGTCCGATAAAGGTTAATGGGAGTGCGANACATGTTTCGGCACCATAGTGCCATCATCAGGTGCTCCATTTACACTAATCTATTGCATTGCATGCCATTATGTCAATGTAAAATTATTTAAAAAGTATTTTAAAATATTCGTCAGTTATAATAAATTTTTTGTATACTAAAATCTTGTTAAGATATTCATCTTATCTGTTCCAATTCAAAACCTGTGCATGGTTCCTCCGCTATGGGAGTTGTTCCTCTTATATGGTGTGTGTATCGTGTCTTGTGATGCGTGTTCCTTTTTTGGCTGTGGGTGTTGTAATCATGCGTGTTCCCTCCCATAGTGGAGGAACCATGCACGGGTTTTGAATTGGAACAGATAAGATGAATATCTTAACAAGATTTTAGTATACAAAAAATTTATTATAACTGACGAATATTTTAAAATACTTTTTAAATAAATTTACATTGACATAATGGCATGCAATGCAATAGATTAGTGTAAATGGAGCACCTGATGATGGCACTATGGTGCCGAAACATGTTGTGAAGTGACAGGTAGAAGTGGATGCACTGCAAGACAGACACTGTATATACAGGGTGTCGCAGGAGGAATTGACCAAACTTCGGGAGGGTGTTCCTTATGTTAAAGTATGCTGATATAACCCAAAACACCTATGTCCAAAGTTGAACGGTTACGGAGATAATGGCCAGAGAAGTGTCAAACTTTGACTGGTGTTACACACTTGTTGATTACCAAATACATATTAAAACTGGCAGGAATATGTGGTTTCTGTAATTTTAA